GAAATGGTCAAGGCTACGCCTTAATGGAGTGCTTTCGCACTCGGTCATCTCTAATAATTTATCTATAATAGGAATAAGGTTAGGGGTTAAGGTTAAAATAAGTTGCACCCTCCGCCGGAAACCACAACGACGACTACAGCGAACACGACGGCCGCCTCTTCATTGAAGGACTGTCTTTAGCGTTTAGGTCTAGGTTTAGGGGTTAGTTTCTTGACTCCGCAAGTGAGCGGAGACAATATGATTGCATGCGACAGTAGAGTTTGGCAACGCGCCAGTGAAGAGCAGCAACATGGACATATCGCAATGTTCTGTGTCAAAGTCATGAAGCCCCTATTCACAGCGAAGCAGTCATATCAAGCGAGATTTGAGACCTGATGACTCAACAAGTATTGCAAGCGAGGTGTGACAGGCTGCATGCATGCACAGATAATACTACGTTTGCTTTCAGAACTGAAGTCAGCAGTAAGAAGCCACTCGGTGCCTGAATGGTCATTGACTGGCCAGTTGCTCATGTCAGTGTCAGAAGCATCACTCCGAGGATCATCGTGCACTGGTCAGGGATTTGAAGAAGCTGTCGCGAAGGCAATGGACAGAATGGGCTTCAGAATTGAGAGCAACGTACTGCTGAACAACGCCACTGGACTTCGCGCGGATCACAACTTAAGGCAGCGCTTGGTGAGGCACATCCTTGCCAAGGAGCATCACCGAGGCAATGTTGAGCCGTGGAATCAGCAGTTTCCAGGCACTGAGCCAATGCGCAGTGATTGGGCAAGACGCCCGGAGGTGACAGAAGTGGATGTGATGGCCACCCTTGATCCTCAGACAAAACCACCAGGTGATCAATTCTGCGGATTCACCTGTGAATTCAAAAGCTTGACAGTCCGCACTTTTCGTGAGCGGTTGCAGGGCAGAGATTGGCTGATTGAAATCTCAGGCCCCTCTGGCAATAGCATTCGGAGGCGTGACAAGACCGATCAGCTGAAGCGCTTGAGCACGCACGCTGCAACAATCAAGCCCCCTGCAGGCGTGGCCCTTTTTTACAATGGCAGTGATCCCAACGCACCACCTCCAGTGGAAGGAAATGTATCCAGCGATATTGTGATGATGCACTTCCTGGAGAAGATTGTCCTGGAGCTGCCTGAAAAGTTGAAAGACCAGGAACTGCAGGTGAGAGACCAGTTACTGCAGGCAACCATCCTGGAGCGGCGTGAGCAGAAACAGTTGCTGCAGAGAAAAGATCAGGAACTGCAGGCGAGAGACCAGTTACTGCAGAACAAAGACAAGGAATTGTGGCAGTTAAAGATTGCCATTTTGACACTTGTAGTGTGTTTCACTGCCGTTCTTGCCCGTGCGTACGTGCAGTTTTTACCCTAGCCTATACACCAGTGTGGTACGAGCAGTCCGCCGTGCCAGAAAGCAAAATCTGCACATCTGCATGTTCCCTCTCAGGTATTGTATCTATTTCGCCCTCCCCGTAGAGAATTGATGGTTGTTGAGGCATAAACACCTGATGAGAACATCCCTCATATCCCCCCAGACCCCCCTGCCTCCCACTGCCTCCCGCTGCCCGCCCCGAACAGGAGTTTGCCTAGGAGCACTACAACACTGAGCTCTACACGACGACCGACGACTACCTCTACAAGCGCCTTGGGTGGCTCGTGGCTTCTGTTTTTTGGGTTCTCGTTTATCCTTTTTTGGTTTGTTTTTGAAACAAGACGCATAAAACATAAGATGATTAGCATAATTATGGAATTTTTCTGTTTTTGCACGCAATAACCGCAAAAAACATATGCAAAACCTATACAAAAAACACACGAAAAATACAAAAACGACCAGACAAACAAAAACACATAATACACAAAATAAAAATGATAAGTAACTTAAAATTTGGAAAGCAACCATCAAACCTTTAACAACTCAAAACGC